TTACCCTCCTGAGGTTTTATTTTATGTATATTTGACTTTACATTGTAGTGAAGTAGCATTGTTTGTACTAAACCAGGAAAAAAATCCCATTGAGATTAAAAACCATCTTTTTTAAGGGTTACGTAGTTAAAAATTCAATTTCAAAAAAGGAAATAAGAATCATATGAGGCATATTTAAAAGCAAAACTAAGAACAATATGTACATCTAATGGAATTAAGCACAGATATATCAAGTTAAGAGCTCTCAAAGATTTAAGGTCTGTTAGTTTCTAATCATTCTGCAACATACACCCATGCAAAAAGGTGCAGAATAAGGAAAAGCTTATTGGCGTTCTCCTGGTTGGTTTTGCAATAAAWCTTTCATTCAGTGTTTATTCAACAATCTGTTTAAGGTTCATTCTTTGGTTTTTAGATTTCATAATAAAATGGAAAAAAACTAATAACTGGGTGTTTTTAAGACAATTACAAAAACAAAAAAGGCTATGCTTTTTAAATTATGTCTTATTTTTTATATTAATAGTTAAAGCAGAGATGAGCTTTATATTTTGTCAGTGCACTATTTGGCACCTTCTGGCGGAGCTGTAAATCATGTTTGTCTTATTTAGAGGAAGTCGATCTTAACAGAAACAAAATTGCTTTAATATTCTAAGTTATGCAGATTAATGTTTGAGTGCAGCCATTGTCAATGTGTTTAGAAATGGTTTCCAGCACATTGACATCATAAACTGTAAATCAAAGTTGTAGCAGCCACTGTAAACTCTTGGTGAATTGTCATTTTTGRCATCGCTACATTAAAACATCTGTGTATTTTATTTTGGATTTAGATAGATGGAGCAAAAATCAAACACCGTGGATTTTCAGTTTAATTTTACATTTTTGTAAAACATAAAATCAAATAAAACATTTTTGTGTGATTTTTATTTTGAAATGTAAAAACCAACAAATGAACCATGCACTGTAAACTTCGGTTCTTTCATTTTTTGTTCTGCAGTTCTTTACTTTGAGCACTCCTGTATTGTTCTGTCCTGCTTCCTGCTTCCCTCTTTTTTTTTTTTTTTTTTTTTTTTTTGTAGTCACGGTGAAGTTTTTGCACCAAGGTGACTGTAGTCTGTGAGCCATCGGGCATTAGCAGGCGTCCTCGCAGCGAGCAGCCATGAAAAAATATCTGCCAACCTTAGATGTCCCCTCTCTCCATCTGCCTTCTGCTCATTAATCCGTCCTTTGGTGTTCCTCCTGCCTCGCTCCTAAACTAAACTATTTGAACTAAAAATGAGCTGTTCTTCGTGTTTTATCTAAAGTTGTGGTGAATTAAAAACCTCAGATGAACCCCAAGATCCCACTGCAGGGAACGCAATGACTCAGTTTTAATATTGTTAAGTTGGATCTACACTGCACCGTCTTGTTTTAAACTTTTCTCACTCTTCATAACAGTATTATTCTACTCTAATGACCTGTAGGACTCTGCAAACTGTAGTTTTACATGGAGTTGAAATACAGTCGGCAGACTCGGTGTCTTGACTTTTTGAGCTCTAAAACATTTTTTCTGCTTCTCACAGTGTTCACCCGTCATCTGGTCTTGCTTCTCTTTAAAAATAAAACCTTAGTGCTGGCAAAGTCCCAAAAATAATAAAAAAATAATAAGTTCTGGTTGGAAGTGCAGCAGGAGTGAAAGGTCAGTAAGAAGAAAGATGAGGAGGCAGCCGCAGATGGAGAGTAAAACTCCTCACACGTTTCTTCCTGACCTCCAGCCCTCGGGTCTCGGGTCTCGACTCGTTTGCTCTCGTGCCAGCTGCAGTTTGCTGACAGGACTCAACCGTTTGACATGAGCGACTCAGAGAGATTCACTTGGGTCTATAAATACCCTGTATCTGTCAGAACGCCCGCTCTGGACGGTGACAGTGTTTTTGCGCAGATGCTGCTCCTTTTTCTTCATCTTGTCACGACTTCCTGTCCGTCTTTATTATTCAATTCCTGACTTTGTCYCTGCTGTGAGAGGCCAATCAGCAGCTTCCTCTCCCTTTCTTTGGTTATCCACGTTTTCTTTGTATCCTCTACCATCGAAGATGAAGGCAGAGCAACAATGTGTTTGTTTGTATCGTTAGCAAAATACAGTGTTTGTTTGTATAAAGTACCACAAAATGATACTTGAGTAAAAGTACAAGTATCTTATCATAAAATTTCTTTGGTAAAAGTTAAAGTCACCTCTAAGAATATTACTTGAGTAAAAGTCTTTAAAGTATATGATTTATTTTGTACTTAAGTAACAAAAGTAAATTTCTGACATAAAATGTACTTAAGTATTAAAAATAAAAGGAATGAGTCAAAATGAGAGGTTAGATTTTTCCAAATATATTTTTTAAAGGTGTGCAGCTGTGATGGATTGTGTACAAACTAGAATCAGAATCTGTTTTATTGCCACTGGCAATGAACAGGATTCACAGACTAAGAATTTGCTTTGGTGTAAAGGTGCAATGTGTCAGAATGGTGTATATATTTATACTTCTCATCCAACCACAATTAAATTCAAAGGCACAGTTTATTGGGATAGAATTTTTTAAGCAATAATGAGCCGGAATGAAATAGGAGTAATGACTTCCTACTTCTTAACTTTTTTAAAAATGTAAGGAGTAGAACATACAGATAACTGTGTAAAAATGTAAGGAGTAGAAGTAAAAAGTTGGCTGAAAAATATTTACTTAAGTGAAGTAGAGAGAGCCAAAATTTCTACTTAAGTACAGTAACAAAGTATTTGTACATAGTTACTTTACAACTAGCAAAATATCTCGTGAACCAGAGGATGGATTTGAATGAATCTCTCAGGAGGTAATACTTTGAACACCTTTTTAACAGAGTAAATTTTGATGTCAATCCTGTAAGACAGGGGTGTCAAACTCCTGTCCTCGAGGGCCGCTATCCTGCATGTTTTAGAGGTTTTCTTGCTCCAACACACCTGATTTTGATCGCTGGGTGATTAACAGGCTTCTGCCCAATTTGAAGAGTTAATTCAATCACTGAATCAGGTGTGTTGGAGCTGGAAAACCTCTAAAACATGCAGGATAGCGGCCCTCGAGGACTGGAGTTTGACACCCCTGCTGTAAGAAAAATGTGATCAATAATGGAAGTTGAAATAAGTTTGCAGAAAACAAAATTTGATTAAAAGACCTGAACTCTGTTTCAGTCATCTCACAGAGTCCAAAGCTGTGAGTTTGAGGCCTTGGGTCTTATCAGTATCATAACAATAAAAACCCTTTCAGCAGTCCATTGTCCCCAAACCTACATGTACATAAACCTAACTTCCTGGTCAAACCCCTGGGGGCGGCACCTTTTATGTCGCACATTGGAATCTTAAACAAGCTTTGTTGATGTTACAGAGTGGGACACATTGATAGAGATTTACTCTTTTTGTTTGACCTCTTAAGCCCCAAGGAGTTTTCTTCAAGCTCAAAATACTATGCCGAAATATAACTGAGTGTATCTCAGCATTTACAAACTCTACTTAACTAATCTTGGTATCAAAATAAAGTTAACACTTGGGAGATTTTATTAGAAGTGTAAGTATTAAAACAACTGCTGTGGTGAGATATAGAGGATGGAACAAAAAATTTAATGTTTTTTTTTTTTACTCTCAACCTGAATTCTTTTTCATTAGACCGTATATAACCTACTTAAAACTGTAATGAATTAGGCTAAAACTCTTGGACACCATAAATCCACTTGTGGACATCACCTGTGCAAAGATTCATGCTGCTAAAATGAACTGGAGCAAAGTTACAGAGGTTTTAGTAAAGAAGTAGTTTTACATTTTTTTCATTCTGCACAAGACAGACCATGATGGTACCATTAATAAATGTTAAGAAATCTGAAGTTTTTACATCCAAAGGTTATTTATTTTTTCTTACCTGCCTGAAAAGACTTATTGAATGTTTATTCTTTTGAAAAATTATCCTAACATTTATTTGTCACCATATATACTGTATTATATAAAATAATGAGAAATTATATTTGACTTCAGTTGGATCATATTCACTCAAAATCAAATAAAAAACTTTACAACATATTTAGGTATCTACTTTGACTTGCTTTAAAAAAATAACGGCATTTTTTTTCCTTTACAGATTTGCTTGAATGTATTTACAGATTTACAATGACACCATTTTGTACAGTTTGTTTACTTTCTGATTCAACTGCTTGACATTTGAACTGTGTTTGGTGAATGTAAAAATAGTTTCCAAGATTCTTGGGTTTCTTTTGATACCAAACATGTCCAGGTTCAACTGACAGATCTTAAGTTAAAGGAAGTTAAAAGAAATAGAAAACAGAAAATTCTGTGTTGCCACCGATACCGGGGGCATGGGGCTCWAGAGAAACGTGTAAACTACAAGACCAGATCTAAACTTCAGTTAATTAGTGACAAATGTTCCTTCAWTCCCATTCAAGATGGCCGACACAGGCAATAACTCTGTCACGTTTACACATGTTCATATTTGGTGCTGTAGCTGAGAGTCATACCAAATATTCTGAGGACTAACATGCATTCATGCACTTTTCGACATATTCTTCTTAGATTTAATGAYTTTCAGACAGATTTTTGTTCATTTAGGTGAATTAGCTCTTTTAAAAATAGTCTCCAGCAGGAGTTCAGAGAGGTGCAGAGAGACGGCGGGATGTGGTGTCAGGTCCAAGTTTCCCGCTGAGCTCGAATTCTGCAGCCAGAATCAGGTTTTATTTTAAATTCATGCAGCAGGGGAGGTGTGAGCAAGCAGACCCCCCCCCCCCCCCCCTCCACACACACACACACACACACACACAAATTTTCATACAAATCGTGTTTGTGTCATCAGTCCTGGATATTGGGGGACTTGGGGTTCTGAAACGAGTCTGCCCTGCTCTCCTCTTCGTCCCGGTTGGCTCAGCTGATTCGTCTCTCTGACCCAGAAAAGAGCGGTGCTCCGTCACTGTACCTCTGCTGTTCCACTAATCACGTCTGCTTTTCCTTGCAGAACATCATGGAGCAGTTCAACCCGTGCTTACGGAACTTCATAGCCATGGCGAAGAGCTACGAGAAGGCGCTCACCAGTGAGTACACCCGCCGTGCCTTACCTCTCCGTCCTCGTCTTTCATTTCCAGTCAGAACTGAGCAGCTGCGACCTGATCTGACCCAACACTTGGTGCTGATTTTTAGTTTTTTCATATTAAATTTGAGCAGGGATGAGGCACGATGAAAACAATAGAAGCGAGTTTGTTGTTCGTTAGAAAGTTTTTCGGTTCAGTAATGAACAGAATGTTTGAGTCCGTTTGAAACTTCGGGGTTAATGTTTCTGATTGTTTCCATGTTATTTTTTTTTGTCTTCATCTTTTGCCTTCCAGTTCTCTGGCTCTAAACATCTGCCTCTGCTCTGCATCCTTTTATTGCTTCTTGTTGCTTGCGCTCTTGTGTGTTTGCATGGAGTGTATGAGTGGGGGGAAAGAGGTGTATGCTACACGCAGCCAGAAAAGCTCCAAAGTGAAAGACAAAGCGCTCATCTTGAGTGGGGGTGGGGAGGAATAAGTGGAGCATGAGCCAATAGGAAGTGGAGCAGGAGGTGTTTCCAGAATAACGGTACCTCCACCCATGGGGCCGTGGAAACAAGAACAGGCTGAGAYGGAATCCAGGACGAGACTGGGTAAAATGGGGAAAAAAGAGAAGCAAGATCGTTTTTCTAAAAAAAAAAAGACACAACCATTGTCCTGCAGCTTAATATTGTTTAATGAAATTGAATCAGTCACACAGTTGACATCAATTAAGTTTTCTGCAGTGAATAACACAAGATGTTCAGCCTGTTGGGCTCATTCCCCCATAGATTGCAGGGAAACCTGTCGGCTGTTAGGTGTCACTGCTGAGGAGATCTGCACGCAACACTGCGCCGTCTTAGAAGAGCGATAAAGGCGGCCTTGGCTCCCGCCTGATAGATAAAGCTAAAAATAGCCCGACGACTCCCCGAGCGGGGATCGCACTTCATCAATGCCAGGCGGCGGCGCGGRGAGGCGGAGCTAAGAGCCGAGCGAGAACCCTGCAATCATCTTTTTTTTTGTCACTGGAGTCTGAAAGTAGAGCTGTGGTCCAGAGCGGGCGGCGTGATTCATGAGGGAGGCTGTTTTTTTTTCTTGTGGATCAGTGAGGACACCGTGCACGTGGTGATGAGCCAGAACTTCCTGCTGCAGAGCCTCAGGAGGTGGAGAGAAAGAGCTGTGTCAGCAGATTGTCATTTGGAAATCGTTTAAAAAAAATCAGAATTTAACTTTGATTTCAACAAGAATCTGCAGAGAATTATATTTTTAAGTCGGCCGACAGTTTTTTGCTTGTCTCTTTACCTCTCTCAGTCAGGGCGTGATGGTGGTTTTTATAGATTTTAGTGGAAAGCTCGAGTMGGATGGGGCGACTCCCTCAGCTGATGCAGACCTCCATCTTGATCGTTTCATTTCTGCTGACACTAGCGGTGGGCGATGCTGGGAAATTTGTTATTGATCCGATTCCAAGTAAATACATGGCTAGTATCATCGATACTGATACCGATACTTGTCGTGAATTATGAAAAAAATACAGGACAAAAATTTTAGGCAAATAAAATATTTTGTATTAACTAACTACAACGAAATAGACAGAAAAAAATTAAATAATAGGAAAAGAAGCTGAAATTTTGCCACACAGGATTAGCCGAGACCCCCTCACATTTACGTCCCACCTAAGCTAAAGTCACACAAAAGACCAGATGAAGGTTTGGGTTTCAGCTGAACAAAAACAGGTTTTAAACAATGAGGAGAAAGTAGAAGAAATGAAGCTGGAGACAGAAAGCATCTTAATTTTGGGAATAATAATAATAATTATCGTGGCAGGGGGGCTTCGCTCCGCTGTGGACTGAACTCAGAATAGAGTTCATTGTTTTTCAGATGAAGGCTGTGTCATTTGCCTCTCCTCTTCAGGGAATCTGTGAGCGCTCTGTGGCAGCTCCAAGCACAAACACTCATCAGTCTGACAGCTCTGTAATAAACCCACCCCTCATCWGTACCCATCACCGCAGTGGACATGTGTCCTCTGTCGTCACGGCTGTCGGGACCCACGACCTTCTTTAATCTGTCGTCGCTGCTGCCCGAGGCGAACGTTTGACAGGAGTTCGGTGTCGTTTGGAAGTTTGGTTGTGAAAGTTTCTGGGCGGCACATGTAACCAGTTGACCTTCGAGGGGATTGTTGGGGTGGATCTCATTAAATTTCTTTTTAAAAATTGCGTACGTTTGTGACACAAGAGCATGTAATTTTTCTGATATTAGAAGTCTGGATATTAAAACAGAACAAATGAAAAGCTGTGTGGAAACTGAAGGTGGTATGGTAATGTCAGTTTGTGACCTGACGTGTGGCAACTTCTTTAAACAGGCTGGTTTTGCCTGCTTTCATTCTTTGTGTTTACATAGAGCACATTACTCATGTTAAAGCTAGATAATTAGGCAGCTAAATAATAGGTTTAATTGAAGAAATGCTATCTTGATGCATAACTGCTTCACTCCACACATTATTTGCAGTGGTGGACAAAGTACTCAACTCTAGTACTTGAGTAAAAGTATTGATACTCATGGTCAAATCTACTCCACTACAAGTAAAAGTTACTCAGTCAAAAATCTACTCAAGTAAAAGTACTGAAGTACTTACTTTTGAAAATACTTAAGTATTCAGAAGTACATGCATTTTAAAGTACTTAAGTACAAAGTAAAAGTACAAATTACATTTTTTTCTTTTCTTTTTCTTGTCACTTCAGTAGAAAACTAAACTAAATATTAGTTTATTTAGTTTATTTTTTCATCATCAGTGACTTTTTTTAAGTGAAGAGAAAACAGAGACAGAGAGAAAAATAGAGAGAGAAGTAATTAGAAAGATATAAAGATTGAAATAGCTATTAAAAGTATATTAAATATACACCAACAAAACACAGGACCACACACCCAACATCTGTTCRCTCACCTGAAAAATAAATGGATAAATACATGGAGGGTATATATAAATATATACACATACCCATACATATATAAAGATATACATACATACATGCCTACATTCATAAATATTGTCAGTGTATACACACAGACACGTATACACACTCAGTGACAGTCAGAACTATAAGCTACGCATGTGATTGGTTACCTTTTGACGAACATAGCTTGTGGCCAATTGCATTTCATGAAAAGAAAAACCGGAACAACAGATTTTTTTCTTTCTTTTTTTTTTTCAGCGGATTATAAAGCTATGCTGATCTAAAAGTAACGTGTAACGACAAGCTTCCTAGAAATGTAGTGGAGTAAAAAGTACAATATTTGTCTTTGAAATGTAGTGGAGTAAAAGTAAAAAGTTCCCAAATAAATAACTACTCAAGTAAAGTAAAGATACTCAAAAAATGTACTTAATTACAGTAATAAAGTAAAAGTACTTTGTTACTGTCCACCACTGATTATTTGTCACCCCTCCTGAACTGAATTAAAAACAAGACTTTAACTAGAGAATCTGCATTTTCTGCAAAAATGCAGTGTGAATGCTTTTTGCTGAAAGATGGTTGCTAAAAAAGCTGAAAATGTTTTATGGAAAAACGTTTATTGTGAGTTCAATTTGAAGAGCTGCCATTTGCTGAATAGGAAAAAATAAAATAAGTTAAAAATCTGTGGAAAAGTCAGCAAAAGTGTCAAAACAAGCTGAACAGAGGACAAAAATGGCAGAAACAAGATGAATTTAGCAGATTGATGTTAAAGAGCAGCAAAGACAAAGTTGCAATTTGCTATAAAATAGCCAAAAAAGCTTAAAGAAGCCAAAAAATTTCTAAAAACTTGCTGAAAATGCTTAAATTAGCACAAAAAATCAGAAAGAAGCACAAAAGTTGGAATTATCAGAAGAATATCAAAAAGGAGCAGAAGGATGGCTGAAATTGGCTAAAATTATCCAAAGAAGCTGAAATTAGCACAAAGAAGAAGTAGAACCAGAGTAAAAGGCGCAGTAAAGATTTCTGAACATTTTGACGGGTTTGTGAATGTCGAAGACTATCTATTCATTTTCAATTAGAAAAATGTGGCCAGAAAAGCTAAACAGCTGTAAAAAGTTGCTGAAATATCAAAAGTCATAGCCGGAGTATYCTGAAGGAGCTGARTGTTTTGAAATAACTAAATTGTGGWACAAATTGCGTGCCGAAAAATGGATCATTTCAGTAATTCCCAGGAAGTAGTTTGTTCAGGTTTCTTTGTTTCACTCTTCTAGAAAAGTCTCTGCAGCTTCCTGCTTCCTGCAGTTGCTTCCATAGAGCTTTTCCTTTCCCTGCCTGGTCACCTTTGCTGCCTATCGCTCTCTATTTCCCAACACCCCATGTCTTACCTCTTCTGGGGGGAGCGGAGGGTTGTGGTTACAGAGCTGAAGAAGAAAAGTCATTTCAAGTCAGCAACCCCTGATCTGACGCCCAATGCTTCCATGTTTCCAGGTGTCACATTTGCTGCAAAGGGCTACTTCGACGCTCTGGTGCGGATGGGCGAGATGGCCAGCAAAAGTCAAGGCTCTAAGGATCTTGGTGAGTCCTTGTAGTTGGCAGTGGTACCCCCACCCCGGTAGGGTGAAAGGGGGATGGGGCTTGCACAAGCAGATGGTAGATGGTGAGGCTCACACTGTGGAGCAGAAGCAGCTGATGACCAGCCGTGAATTGGACRTAACCCACACAAACGCAGCCATTTCTCCAGCTCCTTGTGGTCAAAACAATGTAAAAACTGTGCTTTTGTTTTCCTTGAAACATAATTTAGAGCTCAGCAAACATTTAGGTTTGAGAGAAATTCAGTATTCGCTTGGTTAATCCTCATTTCCCTTTCCCTTAGCTCCACGATTTGTTCACAACGTTGAAATTATTAAATTGATCTGGCATTCATGGATTCCTACGATACCACCAACCCACTCAGATGTCTAACACAGCATGTCTGCTGGTTCTGGTTGCATCAGTTCTGGTTCTGCTCATTAGCTGCGTTTCCATTGACCATGAAAATGCGCAAATTAGAATTTCGAAAATAAATTTGCTCAATGGAAACACGTCAATTTTGAAAAAAATTACGTTTTTCGACAAAATGTTTTTGCGCTAGGATGAGGTGGTTTTTCGGCCTTATCGAAATTGGTGTTTTTCGCAAAACTGCAATGGAAACACTTTTTTCGCATCACGGGAGTCACGTGATCAACAACCGGCTGTTTCTACTGGCGAAAAAGACGATGACGAAGAAGATAACAGGAAGTAGAAATAGTAGTACTATCACAGAAGTAGTATAAAATAGTAAACTCACTGAGTACAATTTCCCAAAAACGCTGCACACATAGTTGCTCCCAAGTAGGGAATTGTCGCTTGAAAGCCTCGATAAAAGACGCCGACGTCTCCTCTGATAATGAGCGCTAGTGTCGCGGTAGCAACATGCTATGTGTTTACATCCATTGCCGCCCTGTTTGTAATGAATTATTGTGAGAATAAACGTATTCATGCGTGACTTTAATAGCATTTCTTACTTAATGGAAACACCGCAGTTGCGAAACTGTTTTTCGACATTAACAGAATATCGACAAAGTTTTGCGCACATTTGCAATGGAAACGCAGCTTCTGTTGTAGAAGAATTATTAGAATGTGTACATGGGGAACAGACTCGTGTCTCAGTGTTGACCCAGTCCCATGTTTAGTGGTCTGTTGTTGGTCTTGGATCACTGCAGCCTTCGTTCTGTCGCTCTGACGTAACGTTAAAAAAGCTCAGGCATGGGCAGAAACTGCAGAGGAGAGTAAACTGGGAGATATCAGAGACCAGTGGGCGCATACAAACAGCTGCATTCATTATTCATGTGGAAACTTCTCCCGGTGCTTCCCRTTTTTATTTTTTATTTTTTCCCCTGAGAGCCCTGTCTCTTCATTTTAAACTCAGTCGTTCTGTGGAGAGAGCCTCAGCAGAACTTTGGTTCCTGCCATGAATCCAAAACTCACTGATCTTCCTAAAATTTTTGTTTTAGTCTGAGGTATTAACTCAGTAAAATCCTCTAAAACCTCTTACAGATGTTTGTGTAAATACCTTTTATCAAACACCTGTCAGCACTCATTTTGTGTTCTGTTTTTTGTTTTTTGTACAAACATGTACAAGCAATTCAAAGAATTTTTAAGGGGGTGGGTATTATAAATTGTCCAGGAACATAATTTAATTCTTTATCACAATCAAGTAACTGTTACTTCCAGTTGTCATGACAATTCTGTATTTCTCAAAAAGAAAAATGTTGACGTTGCATCATAGTTTATCCAAACACCTTGAAATTGGCCTCTGTCTCTTTAAGAACCTTCTACCGTTTCTGGCATTCCCACTTCAGCACATTTTCAAACAATGCTTTGGGGGAGGGGTGCTCTGTGTGGTAGGAGCTCAGCTTCAGACTGAGCTCAAGGGGAGGAGCTTTGTGAAAATAGACGGAGATTTGTACCAGCAGGCATTTACGCAATTCCACGTGGCGATTCAAGGATTTCTCGAACATGCATGAATGAGTCAAAGCAACACTCTGGGGATGTTTTTGATGAGGGGATGACAACATGATTTAAAGCTCCAAAAAGTC